CCTACAAAGTATGAACTAATGTCGCATACATAATGAAGAAAGATACACCTTAAACAATATGGGAAGGGAGTGAAGTGAAGGCTTCCCAACAAACCATGAAAGGAAATGATGGAAAAGTAAAACAAAAAAGACTGAGAATTAAAAGGGAAAAAAGAAAACCAACGAAACATATTTTACAAGAGTATATATCTCTTCTGTGTATCTATAAGTTGCTAAATTTGAAGGACCTCTCTCCCCCCAACAAAAATAAAACCTTGTCTATCTTTTATAACCACTTGCATGATCCATTTATCACCAATCCAATAAGGGCCATAGAAAAGATAAAAAATAACAAAAGATAAAATTAACATAATTATACTATTAAATATTTTTAAATCCATTAATAGATCTTAAAAGTAAGAGTACTCAATTAAGAGCAATATTTATAGATAAAAGTTAAAAAATGGCCTTCTAAACAAATTAGATTCCAAATATCATACTTCTAATGAATGATTTCCTACAGGAAACTAATGTCTCAAACTCTGACCCTTTAATTTGTGTTCAAATTCAAACTGGTTAAAATTTTCATCGGGCCTAAATTGTCGATTGAATCTATAATGTTGATTTAAGAAAATAACGCTTTTGGTTTTGATGTTTTCCCCACGTGCTCAACAGTTTTAGAAATTGCCCGAATACCCTCACACTTTCATAAATCCAACGAAACACTTGACAAAATCAATAGAAATACCCTCACAGAGAAATATACGCAAATGCTCACTCATGGAAAATTCAGCGGAAATGCATGTCCTCCACCCAACAAGACTAGACTACTCCCCACATCTGTGTCATCACATCACGCGTAGGGGTGGTAAAAGAACGAATTGAATCAAATACTGAGATGTTCGCATTTGTACTTGTTCGAATTCGAACACGAATTCAAATATCCATCTTTGCAGCTTTTCGAATTCAAACTGATCAAATACTCTGTATTTGATAAATATTCATGAGTATTCACAACGATTTATCGAATATCAAATTATATTCATTCTGCTAAAGAATTTTATTTTTAAATAGTATTTAAATTTATTAATGAAAAATATTTCTTTATAGTTATTATGCATATATTTAATTCAAATATTTTATTAGAAAACTTACTTAAAATTCTTTTAAGTTTCTAAAAAATTAGTATATAGAACTTAAGTAGAAAATATAAGTACGTTAAAAATATAAACTTATATATGTGATAATACAAATTATAAGCGATCAAATTTTAAACGAATATTTGATAAGCAAACGAATCAAATATACCCCTGATTAGATTCTATTTATTAATGAACTTGGATAGTAAATATTAATTGTTTGGCATTAAATGAACTACCGGATCGAATATGACCGAATAGTTAGTCGAATAATTAATGAACTATTTGTTAATTATTTGGTTCGTTTCCACCCCTAATCACGCGCACCAGAGTACTAGTAAGTCTAGTATTATATTACAAAAGGCAATATTTACATAGCCTAAGAATGCGCAAGTCATTTTCATATAGTTAACTATGTTCACAATTTATTAGTAAACTTCTTGGAAAAGAAAAATAATAATATTTCATGTATACTCCTTGGGTTACATTTGGTATGCAGACATGAAATAACATGTGTAATGTCTAATTCCAGCTAGATTCATGTGTATCAAATTTACCCTCATAACTCTCTCTTTGGGGTGTACCCCTTACTTTTAGATGGGCTCCACAAGAGGGGTTTTGTAAATTATCCACGACTTTGCGAAATTGAACCTCCTAGTTTATTTTTATTAAAAAAAAAATCATGTATACAGACAAATCTATATATGCTGAATAGCGGTATCCATTGTATTGTTTTTTTTTTAATAATGGACATACTCATATTAGCACCAATTTGGGATGATACAATAAACTGCAACTTCTTTAGGTAAATGAATATCATAAAAATTAATACGTTGTACATATGATATAACACAAGGGATGTGACTGATAAGAAATAACCAAAAAGATTGGATGTGTTGTTTTCCCCTATTTGGTAATAAACCCCTCGAAACATAATTAACGCATTTTAAAGTTATTATGACCCATGAATTCTACAGAATACACAAACCAGCCAACCAACCAACCTTTCCCCCCTTTTTGTTTCTTATCACGTGCCCGATGCACGTGCAAGTTAACAAGGCGTAACGTGGAGGGGAGGGAGGGAGGGAGAAAGCAGCCAACCAAATCGTTGGAAGGGGAGAAGAATTCAGCTCTAGCGTTGAGCCCATGCAAGGCATTTATGCTTCTTTTCCCACACTTTCATTTCCAAGAAAGGAAGATTATAAATAAATAACTACGCACGTATATATGATAATAATAATAAATATGTAGATTCATCGCATGTGCTCATTGATCCATACGCGCCTAGGCTAGTTAGATGCATAGTTTTTTGATATCACCCCTGCGTCATGTACCATTTAATTAATCAAATTAAAGCCGTGGTTAGTGGGTTCAGTGTCCCCACCATCCCGATCATGATCTACTTAAAGTAATAGTATAATATTATTAATAACAGCAACAAACCATTTTCCAAAGTCTAGTAGTCTTAGCTGGCACTTACGACTAGTATCATCATAAAACTTTTTAAAGTGTTTATTTGTGGGGAGAAGAAACTAATAAAGCGCTAATCAACAGGATCAACACCTCAATTATAACAGTGAAACACGCCTAAATTATAAGCAAGCAAGATAACTGGGGTATTATTGTATATATACGTGTCCCATCCTTATAATTAAATTATAAGGGCATATACGCATACGTACGTGCTATTCTATTCGTAAGTAGTGATGATTTTATTTCCAATCTTTTTACCTCGGGATAAAATAAAATAAAAACACAAAAGATGGCCAGATTGAAAGAGAAGATTGAGAGCGAGAGGTAGAGCGCGAGCGTGCTAATGTTATTAAAAGCACAGAAGATGGCCTTCCTCTTCTCCTCTCGCAGGATACACGCCAAGTCTAAAGTACGGCTTTGGCAACAAACGGACAAAAACCCTAACGGGAGGGGTTTTTTATTTTTATTTTATTTTTTTTCTCTCTTTAACAAAAACGGAAAAAAAAAACCATTCAAAAGTGAAAGGGAAAAATGCTAAAAAAGGAAACGTCCAGCGCACCGAAGTAGCATTTTTCTTTCCTATAACTATTTTTTTTTTAAAACAAGCAAAAGAGAAATAGCTATAAATGGAAAGTTCTGGCAGCTACTCGCTCGCCCACTCCCTTCCGTTTTCCTTTTAATAAATTTCCTTTCATCAATCAATTTCAACCACTTTAGAAATTCAAAGAGAAAGGAACATCTGCCTGTTTTATTTATTTATTTATTAAGGTAAAGATTATAAAGCGAACAGGTAAAAGTCCTAGGAAATTGAGGGAGATGACAAGGAAACCCTAGCTAGGAATAATAAAATCTATCTCTAAAAAAAAAAAAAAGAAGGAAGAAGAAGAAGGAAGGAAGGCTTACCTGGAATACGGCAGCTATGGCAGGTGCAGCGGCGAGCCTACCCCGGGTTTGAGCGGCGTCGACAGTGACTCGAACAGCGACGGCCTCGACGAAGTGCTGGGGCCACACGGCTTCACATGGATCGATCTCTTTTGGGATCAGACCGACAACAGTACACCAGAGGCCGGAGAGAGAAGAAGGAAGGAAGCTGGAAAGAGGTGGATTATTATGATATGATTGATACGCACGCGCTCAACAACCGTCACCCGCTTCTATCAACAGTACGACATCCCCACTCATCACATCTCCCTCTCAAATTTTAAAATTTTCCCCCTTTTTTGCTCTTCATTTTCGAACTGATAAACTAGGGTTTTGCTTTACATTTTTCTGAGGGCAGAGATGATACTTTTATTTTTATTCTGTAGTATAAAAGGCGGCTTTGATGATCCACGGCCGTCCGATCTTCTGAAAAGAGGAAAATAGTGCCATCCGATTCGATTTTCACCTGCAGCGCTTGATCTGCGGTCTTCTTCTATTTTTTTTTTTTTTTGGTTGTTTCCCCTATTATTTTTGAAAACCAAGCCTCTGACGAAGTACAGTAACAAACAGACAAAAAAGAGCAGAATATTTGAAATATTACCGGAACAAGCTGGTCAAACCGGAGAGAGAAACAGGCGGAAGGCAACGTTGTAACAAAATAATGGGCTAAAATATCAGGCTGGAATTTTTTTGTTCACCTATTTTAACACTTTGGTGTTTTTTATTAGGGGTTTTTGCTTTTAGACCCATTTGTTTACTCTCATTTATCTTTAAACTCAATTACTATTATTTGTATCTTTAAGCTCAATTCATCTTTTGTATTTATCTTTAAGCTCAATCTTCAAAATACTATATTTTCACCACTTGTTTTTATATTTTAGAGATTGGGTTTAAAGATAAATACAAAAGATGAATTGGGCTTAAAGATAGAAATAATAGTACTTGGGTTTAAAGATAAATGGGAGTAAACAAATGGGTCTAAAAGAAAAAACCCCTTTTTATTAACAGTTTGGGCTTTTTTTTGTCCCCTATGGTCAAATACACCCAAAACTAGCGAGAAAATTTTGAAATTAGTCCTAAATCTTTATTATTTTGATATTAGTCCCCTATAACATTCATATCATACTCCCTTTAAAAGCACGAGTTCGAAAAAATCTTTCGGTAGACAAAAATACCCTTCCATTAAGTAATGGTGAGTTGGTAAGTTAGTTGGAGCGGTTACTGCGCATGTTAGCAAGCGATCTTTTCCCTTGCTAACTTACGCATCCGCTGTGATCTCAATGGCGAAGAAGAAGAAGAAATTTAGCAGGAAAAAAGTTCTCAATTCAGGATTAGGAGCTTCGATCTCATCTCTGATCAATATCGAGGAGCGTTTAGATTCAAATTCTGTTGGTAGCGGGGATGATGATAACTCTCTCATGGGATCTACGGGTCCAAAGGGAGCAATGAAATCTAAATTGATGGCGGAAATTCAATGACAATGAAGCAATGAATGAAGTTCTATATAAGGGCCCTTGGTTTTTTGGTTCTAGGCCAATGCTTTTAAAACCTTGGACTATTGATATGGAAACAAATAAATCTGATGAGTGTTTGTATCCTTTGTGGATTCAACTGCCAGCTTTGAGACTAAATTTGTGGAATTCCAAGAGTATAAGCAAAATTGCCAGCATCATTGGAAAGCCTATTACAACTGATATGTTGACAGCTAACAAACAAAGGTTGACATATGCCAGGGTGTTGGTGGAGGTCAAAGTGTCATCACCTCTACCTGACCACATCACTATCCAATGGCCAAATGGTAAAACTTATAATCAGAAGGTGCTCTATGAATTTAAGCCTAGGTGGTGTGGTATTTGCAAATTTGTGGGTCATGACACCAACTTCTACAAGAAAAAGAGAAATATCCAGAAATGGATTTCTAAGGTAAAGCAGGTTATTGGTGATAACAGCCAGGTAGCTCCCATCTCAGAAATGCATAATCTGAAAGTTGCCAATCAAGATGTTATTGAAGGGAATAATAAGGGAAAATGTGTTGCACAAGAGTTTATGCAGGCTAGTAAAAATCACCAGTCACATGTGCATGTGGTGCATGTTTTAGGGGATTATTCAAATAATGAGACTAGGTCTGCACATAGTGAGAGATCTAGATTGTATATGAATAATGGAAAATCTCCTTACAAGTTTTCAGATTATGGAATGCACTTTCAGGGGAACTCTTCTAATAATGAGACACATTATGCAGATAATTCAAGACTGATCATGAACTCTGAACCTGCACATTTGGTACAAATTCTGGGGGAGGCTACTGAGGCTAGGTCTATGCATGTTGTGCACAGTCAATTCCCTGAGTCTGGGAGTTCCCATGAATATAACACATGGATACCTATTCAAGGTAATAAAACTAAAATATCTAGCAACTCTATTGATGTTTTACCCAGATTATCTAATAATAAGTTTCCTGGCAACTCCTTCCTACTATTGGAGAACATGGTTTTTGACCCCTCTACAGTTGATAGAGGGATTTTGTTAAAATGAATCTATCTTTTTGGAATGTGAGAGAGTTAAATAAATCCTCTAAACAACTGTTGATTAAGCAACACCTACAGTTTTATCACCTCTCTTTTATCTCTCTCCTGGAAACAAAAGTTAAGGAATCAAAAATGGTGAATACAACAAGGAGAATTGCTAATGAATGGAATTGGCTTTCAAATGTGAATAGCTCTGAGAAGGCTAGGATTCTTATATTATGGGATCCTAACATCCTGGATATTCAACAAATAAACCTCTCTAGCCAATAGATTTCTTTTAGGGTCAACTCTATTGATGGAAGATTTTCATGTGTCATATCATCAGTGTATGGTTATAATAATATGCAAGCAAGAAAGGATTTATGGACAAAATTATCTCTTATTCATAAATCAATTGGTAACATACCATGGCTTATATGTGGAGACTTCAATACAATGCTATGCAGTGAAGAGAAACTTGGTGGCTCTGTATTAACTGATGCTGACACCAATGATTTCAGCTCATTTATTGAAGATTGTCAGCTCTCCCACCTGAAAACCATAGGATGTTTCTTCACTTGGAACAACAAACAAGACCAGGATACAAGAGTTTGGAGTCGTCTGGACAGAGCTCTAGTAAATGACGACTGGATTCATCAATTAAACTCAGGATACAAGAGTTTGGAGTCGTCTGGACAGAGCTCTAGTAAATGACGACTGGATTCATCAATTAAACTCTAGTCATGTGGAGTTCATGTTACCTGGACAGAGCTCTAGTAAATGACGACTGGATTCATCAATTAAACTCTAGTCATGTGGAGTTCATGTTACCTAATTTTTCAGACCATTCCCCAGCTATTGTCTCAGTTTATGAAGATTGTTCTCAAGGTAAAAAGCCCTTTAGATTTTTTAAAACGTGGACGGAGCATGCTGATTTTCTACCCATTATTTTTGCCATATGGCAATCTCCTATTGTTGGCTTTCATATGTATTATGTCTGCACAAAACTTAAAAAGTTGAAAGGATCTTTAAAGTCTCTGAATAAAAGACATTTTGGAAATATAAGTGAACAAGTTATAAGAGCTAAAGTTGAGATGGAGGAAATCCAAAAGAAACTTCAGGCTAACCCTCTCAATCCTGCTTTTATCAAACAAGAAAGGAAGTCTAATGCTTTATACAATAAGCTCTTAGATCATGAATTATCTTTCTATCAGCAGAAAGCAAGAATTGCCTGGTCTATTCAAGGTGACAAAAATACCAAGCTCTTTCATTCAGCTATTAAAACCAACAGGCACAACAATAGAATTCTGGTCCTCTATAATAGTCAAGGAGTTAGGCTTACTGATGGTGATGAAATAGTCAAAGAGTTTATCTCTCTTTTTATAAAAACTTGATAGGTGTTGCAGTTCATACTACCAAACCTGAAGATCAAGTTATTCAACATGGCACTTGTTTGAGTGCATGCCAAGCCAGAGAACTATTAAAGCCAGTCACTAAGGATGAAATTAGAGGAGCAATATTCTCAATGCCAGATAACAATACCCCATGACCTGATGGGTTTAGTGCATCCTTTTATAAATCTGTCTGGCTCATTATTGGTGATGAAATCTCATTAGGAGTTGAAGAGTTATTTAAAACAGATAAATTGTTGGGAGCTGTTATTCCACCTTAATCACTCTCATTCCAAAGGTAAAATGTCCTAAAACGCCTGCTGACTTCAGATCTATTTCTTGTTGCAATTGCCTCTATAAAATCATTTTAAAAAATTTAGCAACTAGAATTTAGGCTGTTATAGGGAGTATAGTCAATGAAGCTCAAAGTGCATTTGTGAAGGGTAGACAAATTTCAAATAATATCTTACTTGCTCATGAACTGGTGAAAAATTACAGAAGGAAACACTTATCACCAAGGATTATGATCAACATAGATATCTGAAAGGCTTTTGATTCTATAAGTTGGGATTTTATGCAAGAGATTTTGAAGGGGCTGGGTTTTCCTCTGGTCTTTATTAAATGGATCATGAGTTGTATCTCTAATCCTAATTATTCTATCTTCCTGAATAGAAGTTTACATGGCTTCTTCAAGGGTGAAAGAAGACTGAGGCAAGGGGATCCTCTCTCCCCCTACATTTTCATCCTTGGTATGGCATACTTGACAAGAAGTTTGAACCTGTTGAAGAATGATACAAACTTCAAATTCCACCCAAGTGCAAAAAGCTAAAAATAACACATCTAGTATTTGCGGATGATTTACTTCTTTTCTGCAAAGGGGATTTTTATTCAATGAACAAACTCTTTCAATGTGTAAAATCTTTTGGAGCTTGTTCTGGCTTGGAGGCAAATCCTACAAAATGCTCTATTTTCTATGGTGGAGAATCTGAAGCTATTAAGCTTGCCATTAGCAATTAACTGGGTTTCTCTGAAGGAATTCTGCCTATTAAATATCTGGGCCTTCCCCTAATCTGCAAAAGGATGTCATACTTGGATTGCAATCCTCTGATCATGAAGATTTCCAATTAATTCCAAAGTTGTCTGAAAAATAAAAATCTGTCCTATGCAGGTAGAATTCAGATAATCAAAAGTGTCATAAAGTTGTCTGAAAAATAAAAATCTGTCCTATGCAGGTAGAATTCAGATAATCAAAAGTGTCATATTGGGTGTCCAAATTTTCTGGACATCTTCTGTCCTATGCAGGTAGAATTCAGATAATCAAAAGTGTCATATTGGGTGTCCAAATTTTCTGGACATCGAGCTACATTCTTCCAGTTAAAGTTCTACACAAAATTGATGAGCTATGTAGGAGTTTTTTATGGGGCAAATCAGACCAGGTATTCAAAACTTCTCTTGTATCATGGAATAAAGTCTGTGTACAAAGGAAACATGGTGGCTTGGGGATTTTTTCAGCTCAACTTTGGAACACTGCTGCTGCATTAAAACTTCTTTGGAATATTCACATGAGTAAGGAACAACTGTGGATTAAATAGATCCATGAGAATTACCTAAAAAATAAGAGTATTTGGCAAGTAAATGCTAGGAAGGGGGATTCTTGGATGTGGAAACAATTACTGAAAATCAAAGATAAGTGTCTGGATTTGTATGGAGGAATTGATAACCTCAAGCAACTTATCAATTCTTGTTGTGTCAATTCAAAAATACAGCTTTCTGGTTTATATTCCTGTCTATATCCTGTAACTACTCAAGTTACATGACATGACACAGTTTAGGAAAAATTGAGTTATCCTAAATACTCGTTCATCTTGTGGTTGGCAGTTCAAGATAAACTCTAAACTCAAGATAGATTGCTCAAGCATGGGATTATTCAGACATCTGTTTGCAAGCTGTGTGATGGTTCTAGTACTAAGAGCCGTAAATCGTAATCATCTCTTTTTTGAATGCACAATGTCAAATTGTGTTTGGAATGGTATAATGGAGTGGCTTAAATTCAAATGGAGGTGTTGTGAATGGTCTTCCCTCTTGAATTGGTACAGTTCCAGATTGAGGGGTAGTGGGTTTAAGCAAAAAATTAAAAGGATGACATTAGCTGCTACAGTCTACAATATTTGGAGAGAAAGAAATACCAGAATCTTTAAGATGGAGAATAGATCAGCTGATAGTTTGATCAAAAATATAAAGTTGGATATCCTCACCTCTATATTGAACAAATCTATGTCGGCTGAATGCAGAGGATGAGTTCTCTCCTTGTAGAGCTCAAATATATTGAACAAATCACTATCGGCTGAGTGCAAGGTATGAATTGGATTCTCTCTTTGTAGAATTTCATGTTGTGGAGGTTAGTTCTTAGAGGGATTAAAGGAGGAACATGTTTTTGTTTGCTCGAGTATAAGTTCTGCTATGTGTTTCATGTACAGGTTTTACCAAATTGTTGTATTTTTTGAAATTTTTTGCCAAGCTCTAGTTTATGAGTTGTAAGGGCATCTCCAACAGCTTCTCCAAAATTTTCTCTAAAATGGGGAATCAAAAGTTATATTCTCCAACTAATTTTTACACCAACTCCAACAGCTTCCCCATTTTGAAGAATCCTTTTTTTCCTCTAAAAATTTGGAGAATGCTGCAGATTTGGGGAAGCTTCCCCATTTTTTCTCCTCCATCCCTATTTTGGGGAATGAGATGGAGAATCTGTTGGGTCAAAAACCTAACTAAATTCTTCAAAAATGTAAAATAGGGAAGCTGTTGGAGATGCTCTAAGGTGTTATCTCACATTTGGCAATGAGATTCTTGATGTACATACTTTTTACATTTTGGAAATGAATAATTTTTTTCATTTGCCAAAAAAAAGTGAGTTGATAAGTTGATGAATTCCATTTAGTAATAGTGAGTTAACAAAAATACCCTTCCACCAAACAAATTAAAGAGACAAAAATCTCTCTCAGAATTATAAAAAATAAAAATTAAAGCAAACGGCTATGATTAACGTGACAATATCTCACCGACTAAAATTCAAGTAAATCACAGTACTGCATAATTAGTTTTAAAGATTAATTATACTGTTATTATTTAAATAGAACTATATTTACAATGTTATCTTCTCACATGCAACATCGCATACCAATATATATAAGCCAATAAATTACAATAATTTTCATAGCACTTTCATCTCCTTCTATAGGTGTGTTGCTTTGTTAGTTTCTTCTTATTAGATTAAATTAGATTGTTTAAATATTATGAATTATGAAATAGCAATAATTTTCATAACACTTTCATCTATTTTCTTCTTATTAGAATAAATTAGATTATTTTAAAGCAATTAACTATATTATATGTTTAATCTTTTTTTAAGATCAGAATTATAATAATTTTTCATATCACTTTCATCTCTTTCAATAGGTATGTGCTTTTGTTATTTTCTTCTTATTAGATAATATTAGATTGTTTAAAAATTATAAATTATAAAATTGTAATAATTTTCGCATTACTTTTAACTATTTTCTTCTTATTAGATTATATTAGATTATTTTAAAGTAATTAATTATATTGTATATTTGATATTTTTGCACATCATAAAGTTTAATTATACTATTATTATTTAAATAGATATTGTTTGTATAAAAGTCAAAGAGAATCTCACACGTAACTTAGATCTCAATGCCAATTGTAATACTTCATATGGGCGTTGGTTAAAATAAATTTTATGTATAAGCTTAACTTATATGATCTTACTTTAACTGGATTAGATAATTTTTTTTATACCCAAACTCTTCCATAAAATTAAAAGAGAGTAGCAATGCTATATATATAAGTTTGGGGTGAATCCGTCGTCGTTTGACCCTCCATTGAGCCATGTGAAAAGTTCTATTCATTCAAAATTATTAAAATTGATACGAGTGGATGAAGGGTCAAACGACGACGGGTTCACCCCAAACTTGGTGTGTTGGGGTTTTAGAATATGTAGATCAAGTTCAACGGAGCGGATCATTCATAATGTAGCTCAATCATGTGATTTTAGAGGCGTCAAGGAGGAAATCCCCTCCTATGACAAGGATACCCATTAATCTCATACACACACACACACACACACACACACACACACACAGGACCACAAATATCTTGAAAATGAACGAAGAAAACCACACAAACAAAAACCATATTAATTATCCCTAGACACCACTGTTTTCAAAACCACCATTTTCCATCTCCATCTATAATATATCCACAAACCCAAATTAAGCTGCTGGAGTTTTTCCCTTTCAAACTACA